ATGGGCTTGGAGTCAGAAACCTGGCTTCAGATGCCAGCTCTGCCATTAGTTGGTCCTTCATTCAACAAGTGTTTTTGAGCATTTGTTACTTGCCAGGCACTACGCTATGATGACCACAATGGGTAGCAGTAACCCTGAGCAGGACTCTCCCCCATTTCCTCATCTGCAAAATGACAGTAGTGTCTGCTTCGCACTTCGGTTCAAATCACTGCTGATAAGACTCAGAATATATGAAACAGCATGGCTCTCTGTAAATTGTAATTGTATGGACCAAGTTTGTCCTTGTTCATCTAAAGGTTGTGTTCCCTCCCAGTCCTTGTCACTCAAGCAACTCATTCCTGGCAGTCACACGGGAGCCTGCACATTTTAGGCAGATCAGAAGTTCTAGCTACAGGTCCTGGGCTTGCCCATCTGTCTAGTCTGCCCTGGGGTGCACAAATTCCTCAGAATGTCCTCTCTTTCATCATCCCTCAAAGTTATAAGTGAGCTGATCCCATAATCAGTCTTGTGTGCAGCCCGTTGGATCACTAACATTTAAAAACTTCAAAAAAGAAAGCTGCTTGTGTCTACCAGCAATTTAACCCTATCCATGAGCTCTACCAAAATATATATTGTCATTTAGTCTAGTCTGACCCATGGTGACTTTACATGACAGGGCAGAACTATCCCATAAAAATGCCAAGATTCAAGCTGCCACATCCTTCTGCAGAGATGCTGGTGACTTCAAACCATCAATCTAACAATTAGCAGCTAAGTGCTTAGCCACTGCAACACCAGGGCTCCTAGTGGCTCTGCAGGAGAAAATACCTGGTGATCTGCTTCTGTAAAACAGGGTACCACCTCGACAACCTTATGGGTAGTTTTGCTCTGTCACACATGGCCACTATGAGTCAGGAGCGACTCGGCGACACCTAATAAGCCTCAATTGCCTCGTGTGTGAAATGGAAACTAGCAGTATCTCCTGCACAAGGAGGCCATGAGGCTTAAATCAGTTCAACATGGAAAGAAGGCTCTTGAAATGTGATGAAACCAGTCCACCTGGGAAAGGCTGGCAGGGAGGGCGTGTGTATCCAAAATCACCATCTTCACTAACACACCTTCATCACTGGTGTTACTCATATCAGCGCCTCAGAGAGAAAGTTGACAAACTTGTTTCATTTTGATCATTTTGTGGTTGTTGTTATATGCCGTGGAGTCGGTTCCGACTCATAGCGACCCTGCACAGGGTTTCCGAGGCTGTAAATCTTTACAGGAGCAGAAAGCCTCATCTTTCTCCCGTGTAGCAACTGGTAGTTTCGAACTGCTGACTTTGCGGCTCACAGCCCAATTCGTAACCACTATGCTACCAGAGCTCCTTCATTTTGTGGTTAAGAACCACTTATTAGTGTTGTTGTTGTTGTTAAGTACTGTCGGAGTTGGTTCCAACTCATAGTGATTCTGTGTAGGTTTTCCAAAGAGCAGCTAATGAGATTGAACTACCAACCTTGTGGTTCAAACCGACCTTTTGGTTCAGTGCTTATCCTACAGCACCACATCAGAACGCCCCCTGTTATACTGAGCTGAAAATCTGTAGTGGTTTTCTGCAAAGTGACAAAAATCACCAATCCTGAGTGTTGTTATTGGCATACGAGATAGTTCCACTACTTCAACATTACATAAACTTACTAACTTTCGTCCAAGTTGGCTTCATGTTTCACTTTATTCTAGGGTGACAAAGGTGCTCCAGGGAGAGCCGGCCTTTACGGGGAGAGTGGACGGACAGGTGACTTCGGTGAGTGTTGTTCTTACAGTGACATAGCCGCCCAAAATTCCGAGTTCTCTGGGTACATGTGCTGATAGCATATACAAATGCTGGTAGTTATCTTCAGGTAAATTAGCCTTAGAAATACAGCACAACAGAAGTTACGCACCGACTCCTTGCTTACTGACTAACTTGTTATCTGACATTTCATATGTATGACAACAGTGAAAAAATCCACTATCTGGCTATTTTGCTCATTAATAACATAACACTAATCATGAGATAAGGTGATGTGTCCACAGGGCTGTTGCAGGATGCTCAGAGCTTTGATATTTACATAACGATGTGATTTTGACATTTATGTAAATGATGTAGTCACCGTCCACTCTGTGATCTGATGTGGTCACCGTTCATTTTTGCATCATGCTGATTTTCATGTAAAAACCTGGTCTTTGGAACCTAACCCTGTAGATAAGTGAGGAGTGCGTGTAAAAACGCATCATTTCCCTATCAGAACCTGTTCTCAACCATCTTCTTTACATGGAACAGGTGATATTGGAGACACCATAGATTTACCAGGAAGCCCAGGTCTGAAGGGAGAACGGGGCATCACTGGAACCCCAGGTACGTGTTGTTTTTCATTTTGTCATCTTTGAAGATAGCACTGATACCCTATCTATTCCATCACTCAATTACCTGACTTTCCAAATCAGGTCAAAATTGGTAAGCACTGCAAAATGTTTTAATGGTCACAGCAAGGGACTCAGTGATCATGAAGATGACCCAAGACTAGGCTATAAATAAGTTCTCCATGAGTTGAAGCCAAGTGAATAACAAAATAAATAAATAAGTAATTGTAGAGTGAATAACAACATAAATAATTTTAGAGTAGAACTCTTTGAGCACAAAGGGCAAGAAAGACTGTGGAATTCATTTAGTTAAATCTGAAGACAGTGCCAGGAACTCTCAGTCTTCTCTGAAAGGGAGAAGAACTGGAGTTAGCACTCCATGGGTCAGAGTAATTATAGTTAAAACAAATGAAGGTAGACCTTTGCCTATCAGGACACAATACAGGGCATGAAGTAAGTAATGTAGAACAAACATTATTGTTTACTGGGTCTACAATAATGGGGCGTGGGAGTTGAGCCCCTCTCTTGAATAGAACAATAGAGACAACTAGCTGAACCCTGTGCTTGTTGGAGGGGCTTCATGTAGAGCATCATCTTTACTCCTCTTTTCCATAATTATTGACGTTCATAGTCAAAATTCCAGCCTTTGTGATACCTCACAGGGTCTGCAACAGTTGCTTCCTTTCTTACGTTGGTTTTTATTGTTGTTGTTGTGATAACCATGTGAGAGCCCCCATACTGATTAAATTGCCCAGAATTCCATGTCCTTCTAGGGATGATCTTGTTGGGAGAGAGTTTGTCCACATGTTTGTTTGGTCAATTGGGAGGACATTGAACAAATTATTTATCTAGAAAAGCTCCAGACTAGGAAGGGATAGTCATTCTAGCAGAGAATCCTAGAACTATCACATAGAAATCCACTAGCTCTTCTGAGCTAATTTTTTAATCTATAATTTGATCTCCTATTGGACTTACTTCCTGATCAAGAGCCATCTGCTTTCTGGTTGGCTAAATCTCTTGTTCCAAATAATCTCTCTGCTAGTGTGGTTTTTTATAACAAAACTATAGTAATGCTTTATGTCACTAAGGATTGTTTTATTTACTCAACTCAGAATGTGTTGGAGAAAAAAGACTACCTCTTCTAAGAATTATTTTCGTTGTTCCTCTTTGGATGTTGATGTTTTAGTTAAACTGTTGGCCTCGAAAGACCTTACGGTGATCTCCCATCGTGTTCATCAGTAGGCGACTGTAGCTCAGAATTGTCGCACCCCGGGGCAGAGTGGTGGTGACAGCTATGTAAACCATCACTGAAGGCGGTCCATTTTGCCTAAGACCAGTGAGGATGTGGGGTAGCCACAGAGCCTTGTTCTGTGTAGGAGAGGATGTGGACCAAGAAGCATTTTCCTAAATCAAATCAATTCTCAGACACAAGATGACATTGAATAGCTGAGGACTCAGACCAGGTCTCTCCAGATGAAGCATGAAGCTATGCTGGACTGACAGAATTTGGGCAAAAGTGATTCACTGTGTCAATAGTGGTTTGGAGCCAATTTTTAAACAGTAAAATAATCAATAGAAAATAACAAAACTCCTTCATGATTTTTCTTGAAAGCCACAGAAACATTAACAGTATTTTTCTAAGTGCAGCAATATCTTTATACCTGTAAGAGTAACAAATGTCATTGTGTGGAATTCAGGTTGAGTTTGAAGCCATCAAAATCTTACAGTGGGCCAAAAACACCAAAACATTTAACAGAACATTGCCCCAAACGTGAAGACAGTGTTTCTCAAAGTCCCAGAGCCTACTATAGAATCATCTGAGATGCTTGCTTAAGATGCACACTCCAGACCATACCCCAGACATTTTCAACCATCTCTGAGGGGGGAGAGTGGGGAGAAGGGACAGAAAAGCTCAAGTGTCTGTGTGTTTAACAAGGTCCCCAGGAGATTCCCTGGAAAACCACTGTGATGGGATCCCTGGATTAGTTATCTATTCTGTTTCACAGAGTCCCCCCAAAATACAGTGGCTTAAATCATCGGTAAGCATGCATCATTTCATAGTGTTCAGAATCTGGGATCACGGTAGTGGTGGCTTGGGACCTCTCGTGGTGTTATAGCCACGAAGTTAGCCCAAGTTGTAGTTATCCAAAGACGTGACTGAAGGATCTTTTTCCAAGATGGCTTCTGGAATGAGACCTGGGTTTGTCACCACATAAACCTCGCCATTGGGCTGCTCAGGTGTTCCCACAAAATGGCTGCTAGATTCCACCAGTGAGTGATCAAAAAGAGGGAGGAAAGTGAAAGCAGCAATGAATTGTATGACCTCGGATTCACGCTCCATCTTTTACGTAATGTCCTACTGACCTTGTTCGATGTGAGAAGGAACCAACCACATGAGGGCATGAATCGCAGGTGGTGGGAATCATTGGGCACCATCTTGGAAGCTGGCTACTGCAGGTTCAGAGGAAGAAATGAGGCAAAATAGATAAATGGATAAGAGAAGAAACATGCTTAGACAAGGATGCTTTCCCCATCCCCAAACAGAAGAGTATTACTACGGTATTGTAATAGCCACTAACCCTAGAGCACTTCGTTTCAGTTTGACACAATGTCAAGTGGAAAATCTTCCATCACAGGTCTAAAGGGAATCTTTGGAGAGAAAGGAACAGAGGGCAGCTTTGGCTTCCCTGGGATAACAGGCATGAAAGGAGCCCAGGGTCCACCCGGACTTAAAGGACAAACAGGTAAATCTCCTGCAGCCAAACTGTCTTCACCTAAGTGCCTTCCCCTCATCCGGCCATGGCTGGAAAGAATACTGATGTGCATAGGCTAAGTCCAACTGAGACACAACCGGTGTACCAACTCCAAGTCTCCAAGGTCCCCTACAACAGAGGTGGCTGGTTTTACTTATTTACCTGACTACCCCAATTAACTCTCTATAGAAAACTTGCCTTGCATGCTGTCCATTCCCCGAGCTCTGCAGTAGTACCAAGAAGATGTATAAGAGAGGCAGAAGGGAATCATAAAAAAAAATGTCTGTGGCCAAGCATCCATCTCTCATATAAAAGCAGACTGAGTTATTTTTAAAGGATCCCTTTTCATGCAGAAATGTGTGCATGAAGTTAATGAGAGACAGCCAGCAGTGACCTAGTTTCATGCTTTCTTGCTATTGTGGCTTTGGTTTGTACCCCACACTTATAAACTTTTAAGAGACGGGACAGAATCTCTCAAGGAGTTGTCTCCTGGACTTTCTCCAGTTTCCAGACTTGCATTTGGATGGTAGGATAAGAATTAAAAGCACAAGCTATTCTCTCCTTGGCAAAACCAAGCTAGTCCTATTGAATTTGAATATGGGTGTTTACAGCCACAGACATTTTAGGCTTGAAAGAAAGACTTCCTGCTGCCGTCCCCCAATGTCCCCCAATGTCCATCAGTCATTACCACAACCACCTTCCCACCAGCCAGGACAGTGAGCGTGAGGCACACTTCTAAAGGTGTTGGGATGGTTTTCTCTGTGTTCTCAGATTGAATGTTGTGTTTAACTCCCCCTCCCCCCCCAGGCTTTCCAGGGTTAACAGGACTTCAGGGTCCACAGGGAGACCCAGGACGCAGTGGACGGCCTGGCGAAAAAGGAGACTATGGTTGGCAAGGGGTTCCGGGTTTGCCAGGTAACATGATTCTTTTCTGAAGCAGAAATGCAAAACACAAATGATTAGTGACAGCCAGAGCTGCCTGGGTTGTGAGGATGAGGCATCATTAAGTCAGATTGGTGTCTCATAAAAAGATGCTTGCTATAAGACCCGTATGAGCGACAAGCAGACAGCCAGTGGTTTACTGTAGACACAGAAAGACACCGAGAACAGGATTTGCAATTGCAGTAAAAAAAAGTCACACGCTAACCTGCAAAGAAGTGTTTGTTTTCCAAAAAGATCAAGGAAAGAGGTACTGTGGCCCACTTGCAGGTCATCACAGGGGCAGCGTGTGGGCGAGACCAAGGGATAGATGGGAATTTCTCCATTGTTCGACCTCCTCACTCCCCATGATCAAATGTGTTCATGTGACCACACTCACTACCTACATCATAGAAAGACCAGTCACCTCTTCCCAGTGCCCTGCGTTAGTGTGTTTGTCCTCAGAAATCCAGAGGAAATGAAAATCACGCCAATCATTTGTTCTCAGCACAGTTTTTACGCACCGAATATAAACCAGTGACTCAATCGGCAGGAAGAGGAATGGAACAGATCACTCCCCAGCTCTTGTCTGGCTTTCCCAAGTCTACCCTGCACCCAAAAAAAGAGTCTGTGGAAAAAAAGTTAAACGGTTTTCCTGAGTAACATAAAACTTACCCTTGTGCGTCCTTAGCTGCTCTGTATTGGCAGGAGTTTTGAATAGTACAGATCCACAGATCATAGAAAAGGAAAATGTCTCTGAATTAATTTAAGGGTTTCTACCAACCAGAAGCCCTCTTGGCTCTTCTCCTCGGCATGAAATAACGCTGAGTGAAATTCTCACAGGTTTTCCAGGCATCCGAGGAATTGGTGGACTACATGGCTTGCCGGGCACCAAAGGCTTTCCAGGATCCCCAGGTACTTCCCTGCATCCCAGCTGAGCAATTATACCCTATAATAGGTGTGCCGGAAGGAGCCCTGGTGTCACAATGGCTAAGCGCTGGACTGCCAATGGAAAAGTCAGCAGTTCAAACCCACCAGCTGCTCTGTGGGACAAAGATAATGGCAGTCTGCTTTGGTAAAGATTGCAGCCTAGGAAGCCCTATGGGGCGGTTCTACTCTGCATATAAGATCACTGAGTCAGAATCGACTGGGTGGCCCCTAAGGTGAGCCTTTCTACATGGTAGGAAAAATGGGATTCTGGAAGGAGAGTGGGTTTCATGAAAGACCATTTTATCACTGTAAGAGTGATCATGGTCTGCTGACTTCTGGAGCTGTGATCTCTAAAGACTCAGTCTTTTAATCCCACACCTGCATTAGACGCGTCTGTAGATGATCCTCTAAAATGGATTGAAAAGCAAATGCTTCACTTTTTCTCTTGGGATGTTTGGGATGTATGTCCCGCCCCCAGTTGTCCAAAATGTTCAGTTCATCCAAGGCTGCGTTGGTATTCCTTTATTTCGTTGGCATGAGGTAGCCAGTTGGTGCCTGGTCTGTCCCTGGGGCTCTTCTTATGCTTTCAGACAGCGACAATGGCTTATCAGGGCTTTGTGTTCCATAGAGAAAAGACACAGACACTTTTAACAGCAATTTTGCTGATTTTTAAAAATATTTTAGTGCTTTTGAAAATTTTTCTCTTACTGGGGAATCAAAGCCCCATTGTTTTCAGAAACCAATGACAGACTAAAGTTTGTATCATTAGCCCTGGTGGTACAGAGGTTAAGTGCTCTTGACTGCTAACCAAAAGGTCAGCAGTTCAAACCCACTAGTCGCTCATTGGGGAAAAGACGTAGCAGTATGCTTTCATAAAGATGACATCCTTGGAGACCCTATGGGGCAGTTCTACTGTGTTATACAGGGTCACTGTGAGTCAGAATCTACTGGACAGCCAACAGGTGTGTTTTCTCTGATTATGGGCTCTCCAGTACCCTCTGATGTTGAGTTATCCCTAAAGATGGAATATCGTCCACATTGTTCCCTGGCCTCCCTAAGAAGCTACTGTGGCACATATTGAAAGCTTCAATAGCTTTTTTGAAACTTGCACATTTTAAATTTCATCTTAAATTTTAATATCCTGTGTGTGACTTTTCAAATGTATTCATTGCACTCATAAAATAACATAGCAGGCCATAGGGGGTGAGAGGGAGAGATTATTTTATTATTCAATAGTGTATCTTTGTGTACTTTTCCAGTTATAAAAGTTATTTTCAGTGTAAAAAAAATTACAATGTACATTCAAAAAGAAAATTCATCGTCCTATAGCTGCTATTGGTTCTCTTGGCTGCCCATGGCACTTTCAATATTCTCCTCCAACACCACAACTCAAAAGCATCAATTCTCCTAAGGTCTTCCTTATTCACTGTCCAGCTTTTGCATGCATATGAGGTGATTGATAATACCATGGCTTGGGTCAGGCGTACCTTAGTCTTCAAGCTGACATCTTTGCTCTTCAACACTTTAAAAAGGTCTTGTGCAGCAGAGTCGCAATGAGTCGGTACTGACTCGATGGCACCTAACAACAACAACATAGCTGCTATTATAATGTTCTCTTTATAGCTATTTTCTGTAACCAAGTATTCATATAATTACAGGTAAACTTGCATGTGTATATATTATTTATAAACACATTTACATATTCTTTATATATACATTCATGCTCTAATTCACATTTCTGATCCAGTTCAAATAGGTATATGAAGTGGAACTGTCAAGTTATATGGGTACTGTCACTGATATAGGTGAACTTGGAAGAATTTAAGTAATGTTAATTCTGGCATAACTGGCAGGGTAGCATTGCAGCAAAACTAACAAACCAGGATCCAGGAGCCCAGGGGCAGGGCCCCAGCTCCACTCTCCATCTCTCAGATGCTTTTTTTTTTTGCATTTGGACCTTCTGAAGAGCCCCAGTTTTCTTACCTGGGATCCCTACAAACCTTCCAAGTTTCAGGTTTCATGGCCCTGAGGCCATATAGCACACTGCGATCACCCCCACTGCCTTTGTTTCTACTTTTGAGTCCATTGTGGCGCAATGGTGTTAGTTCACTTCCCATGGGTGTAAATTCCCATCCCGTGGGTGAAAACCTGGACATTAACTGCTGTTTTCATTCCACCACAGGCGCAGACCTCAGTGGGGACCCAGGCTTCCCAGGTACTACTGGTGACCGCGGGGACCCAGGAGAGCCCAACACCTTTCCAGGCCCTTCAGGAGTACCAGGACAAAAGGGGGAGCAAGGACCACCAGGTGAGGCCTGACCTTTTCAAAGTAAACAGGGCTATCTACCTACACAGACCCCAAGGAGCCCTGCTGGCTGCTGACCGAGAATGGTGAGCAGGAAGAAAGACCTGGCGATCAGCTTCCGTATAGGTGACCGTCTAGGAAGCCTATGGGGCCATTCTGTTCTGTCCTATAGAGTCGCAGTGAGTCAGAATTCACTCTACAGTACACAACAGCAATCAGAGTCCAGCATAGGGCTGGCTGGCCAGCATGTCTGTGTGAGTCTGAGAGATGAGCCGGAGGGAAGTGTGGGAGAGTCCTGGCTTCTCGGCAGAGGATTTGTTGTTGCAGAATCTCTTGGATCGTCTTTCATCATTTAGATTCTGTTATCCCGTTAATTTTATTCTATGGGTGTTAAACCAAGCTCCCTGACAGTAAGGATCATGACTTACCCTTTAGGTCCTTGTAGGCACCTGGCCTGTCTCATTGATTATTCCCTGAGATGACCTTGCCTCTGAGCTTAGCCAGACTTCATGATGCTGCCACTGGGGTAGGAACAAACCTGAGACGGGGCCTTAGTTAGAAAGTTAGCCATTACCCAACCTCCCAGCCCACCCTGTTCACTAAGCAGAGTGAGCTTGAGCTTAAATTAAAACGGAATTAAGTTCTTAAATAATATATAAATGTTATATTTTTTAAAAGCTAGAGTTTATTTATAATACTGAAGCTTGATTGAGCTTCTAGCCCCCATGTTTGCTTCCTCCCACCGTGTGCCAGCGCATCTCTGCATTTTGTCCACTGGGGGCAGCCTCGAGCCAGGTGGCATCTCTGATGCCCAAGAACGTGCACCTGGGCTGAGTGTCTCAGCCACACGCTGGATTTCCGGCTGTCAGTGGAAGCTTGCGGGCATTCATGCATCGAGGTGTGAGCTGCAGTGGTTCAGAGTTCTCTCCGGTGTTAGAACCAAAGAAATCACAGGCAGAGAAGTCAGCTTCAAAGAGGTGCCACTGTACAGTGACCGTAATGACCTTTACTGGAGGTGTCTAAAGACTTGCAGACCACCTCTGACTCCAGAGTCGGCCACCTCCTCTCTCCCTTCTCAAATAGCTGGGGACCTCCAATAACTATGTCTGGTGGCAGAATGGTTAAAGCACTCGATCACTAGCCAAAATGTCAATGGTTCAAATCCACCAGCTGCTCCACAGGAAAAAGATATGGCAACCTGCTTCCATAGAGATTGGCAGTCTCAGAAAGCCAGCGGGGCTTTCAGTCTCTGTCCTTAGAGGCCGAATCGATTCAGTGACAAGAGGCTTGCTTTGGGTTATTGCCACATTTAGTCTGCTGAACAAAATTCCTTATACCTACTGTGTGGTTTTCCGCATTTCATCAAAGAGGCCTAGTTCCTATTTCCAAATTCTAAGGAGTAGTGTCTCCTTTTTAAAGCCATTGAATACTACCTGTCCCTCTCTCCTGTATGAAAGTCCCAATCGTCCAATGCCAGCCAACACCAGGAACTGGTGACTTCAAAGGAGCTCCCAGAGGCCAGATCAGAGGACACGCTTCATTCTGCCCACTGGACCTCTGTGATGAAGGAGAGGACACTTCCCATAGTGCTGTTCACAGATGGTCTGTCGGGACTCATTGCTGAGACTGTGGGAATCATTCCCACCTACTGTCTTCCCTTGGATGCAGGCATTTAAGCTAGAATGTGCAGCCTCAGTTAGTTCTGTAGCTGGCATTCAGCTATTAGTTCATGACCTAGTTATCAGTTATGCAGAATGGCTTTTCGTGAAATCTCCATTAGTTTGAGTTTTTTATTCCAGTAGTTATGAAGATGCATGGGGTTATCAAGAAAACATAATTGTTTTAATTCTGATTCCAGCAAAGTGACTCCTGTTTGCTAAATGTCCTCATTAACAAAACCCTAATCACTGTGGTTAAATTAATTATGTTTTTGTGGGAATTTGGCCAATCTAGGGATTTAACTGAATCATGTCAGAAGTTTTGCCATTATTCACTGACGTGCACCATCTGTATGGGTTACTTTATGATAATAGAAGGAATTCGGTTGGTGTCATTTTATATCAAACTACAGATGGCCACTCATAAGCCCCTCAGGCCTAGTAAAGGCACTTGCTCCTCGTCGCTGTAATTAGTGGGACAGAAGAGAACACTTTTTCTAAATGATTCTCCTGGTCTTTGTTTTCTTCCTACCACTCCAAGGTGTGCACAAACAGAATCATTTCCCCTGTGACGGGTAGCAGAATCTTTCACATGAATATCTCGTCATGTTGCTGCTAATGGGGATAGATTAGTCTTGCAAACACAGAAAGGCATAGGGTACAAGAAACCACGATTTTTACTCTCTTTGAGTTTCACATACTTGCAGTGGGTTTTCCCCATCGCCCTCTTTCCTTAAGCATTGAGATGAGGCTATCTTTGGAGACTTTGGCTTTCTTGTTTTTGTTTTATTTTGAATTGGTTTTTTTAAACTCATTATTTCCCAGACCTTAACAAATGATAGCTCGGTGATAAGAGAGATCAAAGGTCTTCTGTTCTGAAATGTTGAGCTCCCTGAGGCAGGCGACATCTTGACATCCTGTTTCCAAGCACACCTGTGTGTAGTTATTGTTGTTGTTAGGTGCCTTCAGGTCAGTCAATAAATATCCTGCTAACTGGGGGTTTAGAGGAGTAAACTGCACTCAGATTGCCGTAGTTGGGTGATTTCCCTCAAGGGTCTCTTCTCTATCAATGCTTCTGTGTCAACTAGTGATAGCTGGAATGCAAAATGCTGAGAGAAGAATGAAAAACGTGTGTGATGCGAGTGCCCTGGTAGTATAGTGTAGTGGATTACGAGCTGGATTCTGAATCACAAGGTCAGCAGTTTGAATCTACCAGTGGCTCCACAGAAGAAAGATGAGGCTTTCGGTCTGGGAAATCAGGGGTTAATAAGCCTATTAAAACAAACAATTCAAAATAAAATAAAAACAAGAATGCCAAAGTCTCCAAAGACAGCCTCATCTCAATGCTTAAAGGAAGAGGGTGTGGGGCAAACCATTGCAAGTATTTGAAACTCAAAAAGAGGAAAAATAGCCGTCTGTGCTCCCGTAAACATTTACAGCCTCGAAAATCCTATATAAGGTTGTTACGAGTCAGAACTTACTCCACGGCAGACCACCACGTATGAAAGTGATCTACGTGGCTAATACGTAAGGAAGATTGTAGAGGAGTTGATGCATTTGAGTTATGGTGTTGGAGGAGAATATTGAAAGTACCATGGGGTGTCAAAGAAATCAACAGATCTGTGTTGGAAGAAATACAGTCAGAGTGCTTCTTGGAGGCCAGAATGGGCCAGACTTCATCTCTCATACTTTCGACATATTGTCAGGAGGGACCAGTCCCTGAAGAAGAATATCATGTGTGGTAAAGTGGAGGGTCAGAGAAAAAGAGGAAGACCCCCAACAAGGTGGATTTGCAGTGGTAGCAGCAATGATTGTGAGGTTGGCCCAGGATCGGGCAGTGTTTCGTTCTGTTGTACATAGGGTCGCTGTGAGTCAGTACCGACTCAATGGCACGTAACAACAATACGTGAAGCTTCCATCCCATCTCATGTGCTAACAGAACTGCCAACAACCAACGGTATCAATGAGCTGGAGTTCTACTTTCCCGGCCAAGCCTGTTGCAGGGGCTCTGGCTGAGGTTTGACCAAGCAGTGAGTGGAGGCAGGTGCAGTAGACATGAGAATAAGAACCAGCTGGAGCTGTGGCCTGGTGTCCTCCCAGGAGGAGGACTGCGCAAGTAGGAGGTGGGGGCTGAGCCCTTCTGAAGACAGATCAGGTAGCCCTGCTGCCACACCCAGCCCTGAGAGCCACAGCCCTGACATGTACCTTGAAGTCAGAGCATCTTCACTCACTGCCTCATCCTTGTGGCACCCTCTTCCACAAACAGGTGACTTCGTGAAAGGATTGACGTGCCAACATGAAAAATAACGTCTTCTGTTTCATCCCCAGGGCAACGAGGCCCAGTTGGGAGTCCAGGCCTGCAGGGATTTCCAGGCGTCACTCCTCCTTCCAACATCTCTGGGTTACCCGGTGATATCGGAGCACCTGGAATCTTTGGTCTGCAGGGTAAGTAGGAGTCACGCATTTGTGCATTGAAACCTCGGGGGCAGAGCTGAACTTTAGGAATCGTAAAGACAGTGCTTGTTGCAGACTTTAAGGATCATAATGACAGTGCTTGTGTCCACACTGACTTTTATCACAACTGTCATAGTCACTAGAAAATCAAGTTACAATCCACGTTGAATACTTGCTCCAGGAGCAGATATCCACAACAGTGGTAAACTTGGGAACGTACCGTGTGAAATGGTTTCCTCTTCTTCATTATATTGTGCTTAGTGTTGTTGTTGTGAAGTGCCGCCGAGTCAGTTCCAATCCATAGCGACCCTGTAGAGGGTTTCCAAGGAGTAGCTGGTGAGCTTGAACCACTGATTTTGCGGTTGAAACTGACTTTGCGGTCCAGCGCCATATTGGGAGTCCTGATGAGGCCTTGTAGGATAAGCACTGTACCGCTAACCACAGGCTGTGCCTCGTAAACCTATACAGAGTCAATATGAGTTGACAACACTCAACAACAACAACCACATTATTAGCTGAGAATTGAAAAGAGAGGTTGTGAGGATACAAATATTCCATTAGCTGAATGGTCCTATCATCTGGTGGTCTGGTGCAAAGTGCCCGAGCATCCAGCACCCTTGTCCGTTGAGAGTCTGCCTTCCTCGGGTACTGTCTGAACTCTTGCTTCTCTTGATGGATGCTGACAGGTTACCGAGGCCCACCAGGACCACCTGGACCTGCTGCTCTTCCAGGAACCAAAGGAGATTCCGGAACCCAAGGAGCTCTAGGCAACCCAGGCACCAAAGGATGGGTTGGGGACTCTGGACCCCAAGGCAGACCTGGGGTATTTGGTCTCCCTGGAGAAAAAGGTAACTGTGCCCACGCTGAAGGAATTTCTCTTCTCAGGGGACAGACAGCAGTCACTCTGTCCAGAGCTGTGTCCCTAATGAACTGTTTGTACTCAAGGACCCAGAGGCGAACAAGGATTCATGGGAAACACCGGTGCGTCAGGAATTGTGGGTGACAGAGGCCCCAAAGGACCCAAAGGAGACCGAGGATCCCCTGGTGAGTAACGGTCTGCACAGTTGCAAAGGTCACCGTGTCAGGACCACTGTGGTTACAACCCTGGCCTAGGAGTCAGCGCCAACCCTCGGGTTTGCCACAAAGGCTAAATAGCCAACCAAGACTGGGCCCCTGCCTGAGCCTGCTTTTGCACTCAGAGGGGTTGGGGGAAAGGAATATTAGGGGTTGGTTTTTTTAGTGGCACTTAGCTGCCTCTCAGATGAATTCATACCACTCTCATGTCTAGAAAATAAGATTTTTCTCATTTTATGTGCAGGCCAGACATACAAATAGAATCGAGTTCAGAATAAGAAAGCAAAGTGGTGCTCAAGCATTTAGTGCAGACTTGCTTCCTCCCTTCCAGGTGCCCCTGGTGCTCTAGGGTCCCCAGGGATTGCGGGAATCCCCCAGAAGATTGCTGCTGAACCAGGGACCTTGGGTCCCCATGGACGGAGAGGTCATTCCGGTGCCCAAGGAGAGATGGGGCCCCAGGGCCCTCCAGGAGAACCAGGTAGGAGCATGGGGTTGGCTTGTCATTCGGAACCTCCCTACAGCTTCCCCGGAGAAAGGTTTCTTTTCCTGTTGTAGTTTTCCTGTGAAAAAGCATGTGGTGGACACTGGCTGATCACTGTCACCGTTTCCAGTTACATTCAGACTTATTTTGGTGATTGCAGGTTTCCGTGGGGCACCAGGAAAGTTGGGCCCCCAGGGAAGAGGTGGTGTGTCTGCTGTCCCTGGATTCCGGGGAGACCAAGGACCCATGGGTCATCAGGGCCCAATTGGCTATGAAGGTAAGTGGTCAATGGTAAAAGGAGAAGGCGGAGAGAGAGTGTAGGCATCTCACTTAACAACCGTTAAGTTTTTCTTGTTAGCTGATGTCAAGTTGACCCCTGACTCCTGGTTGACACCGTGCACAACAGAATGAAACACTACCCAGTCCTGCACCTGGCCAACCATCGGTTGTGATCCATAGAGCTTTCACTGACTTGATGTTTGGAAGTAAATCCCTACATGTTTCTTCTAATCTGTCTTAGTCTAGAAGACGAGTGGGGAATATCCAGCCCAAAATCATTGGGTCTGGCCCTGCCGAAGTAACCACAGTTCCAGCCATCACATTCGGGGTCCACATTTTAATAAAAACATTGATGGATCAGAGTCCACCCAGGGGTAGGAGACCAAGAGAGTGTAAGCCAGACAGAATGCCATAGGAAATGGGCTGAAATGTGGACAATGTCCCTGCAGAGGAGAGGGGGCAGCAGAAAGGCAGAAGCGATATAGAAAACTGATTTCAAATCCTCGGAAGGTTATCGTGGTGGAAATAGGGGAAGAGTCAAGTTACAGGGGGCAGGTTTCAGCTTAGCAGAAACCTGGAGTCCTAGAAGGGTCCCTCCCCGTGGGGAATGAGCGTCCTCTCCTCTAAAGGACCTAGCACAGGGCGGCTGCTGGGGAGGGCAGAGGAGAGCCTGCTTTGGTGGGAGGCTGTGCTGAGATTCTCCAAGATGCTTTAGTTCTCGCTCTGTGCTGAGCACACATGGAAGGTGTTTGGCACATCATGTGCAGGAGACCGAGTCCTTTCTTGGAAGATGCCTGTCCTCATTAACATTATTTCAAGTGTTCTGAGCACTAAATTTAGGCCAAATCCTTTGTAAAAGGCTATTTGTCTAAAAGGGGGAAAGTTACTGAGGCCCAGACTTTGGAGGAAAAAAAGAGCAGCTTTTTTTGTATCTTTGTGATGTCCAGCACAGGTCTGCCTAAACACATGGGCCTTAGGTTTTCAGTGCAGCTAAAAAGGTGGCTCTGGTGTGGCACTGTAGGATCAGCACTGTACTGCTAGCTACAGGGTAGATGGTTCAACCCCACTAGCCACTCCTCAGGAACCCTATAACTGTTCGACTCAACAGCACTCAACAACAACAACGAAGAGGTGGTTCACACAGTTAACGCGCTTGGCTGCTAATAGTTCGAGGCCATCCAGAGGTGTCTCGGAAGAAAAGCCTGGCAACCAAATTCCTAGAAATCAGCCACTAAAAACCCTAGGGCATCATAGGGCTGTGATCCACAGCGTTACCATGAGGCAGCTTGACTGGACAGAAACAGGTGTTTTAAAGGTGACTGCCTTCTCTCGGGTCCTAGGGGAGCCTGGCCGTCAGGGAAGCCCTGGCCTTCCCGGCATGCCTGGCCGCAGCGTCAGCATTGGCTATCTCCTGGTGAAGCACAGCCAGACAGACCAGGAGCCCATGTGCCCCGTGGGCATGAACAAGCTCTGGAGTGGATACAGCCTGCTGTACTTTGAAGGCCAGGAGAAAGCCCACAACCAAGATCTGGGTAAGTCCCACCCATGGAGCCACCCCTCTGACCCCTATCAGCTCAGTTCTTGGGCACCAGGGATGGTCGAGATCAGAAGGCTCCAGTGAGATTCATTAATTCATTTAAGATTGATGGCACGGGGTAAATCCACATTCTTGGGGGTTCAGTAAAGATTAAAGTGTCCTTTGAAGCTCAAATCTCACAACCCCTCAAATCTCAGAGCAGCGAGGCTTGTTAACAGGACATCAGCTTCTGCGCCTCAAGTCTACCCAGAGCCCCACATTGCTCCCCCTCCACATATATATGTGTGTACATATTTATTCAAGTCAGCCTGGGTGCCCAGAGGAATTAAAATGACTTGAAAAAACAAAGGAACAGTAACAAGCACTTTTTTTTTTTTTCTCCCTCCCCTCCCTCCTCCCCCCCACATCCCAGCAACCAGGAAAGAATTCCACACACACCCCCTTTAGTATGGGTTCTTTTTCTTAGTCTTTTACAGTAGTGGTCCTATGCAGTATTTCTCTTGTTATGACTGACTAATTTCACTCAACACAATGTCCTCAAAGTTCATCCATGCTATGCAGTAGCTTGCAGCTTCCTTGTAATTTTTCAAGGTAGCGTAATATTCCATTGTGTGTATGTACCACAGTTTATCCATTCTTCAGTTGATGGGCACTTTGGCTGTCTCCATCTTTTTGCTGTTGTAAATAGTGCAGCTATGAACATCGGTGTGCATGTATCTACTCGTGCTATGGCTCGTATTTCTTGTGGCTAAATACCAAGTAGAGGAATTGCTGGATCGTAAGATATTTCTATTCACAACCTTCTGAGGAAGTGCCATATTGAACAAGCACTTTTTTTTATTATTGCTGGTGGGGGTGGGAGGGAAATTCACTAGTATATAATGGTCGACATCAGAAAATGTTAGATATGTTTAGGGGTAAGTGACTAGAAGGACTCCATGAGGCTCCCTGCGTGCTGGGACTGTTCTGTGTCTGGACCTCATTACAGGTTTCACCCGTGTGTTCTGTGTGTCAGTGTCTGTCAAGCCGAATAAACCCCCGTGTTGTGGGCATAGTCCTGTGTAGAGGCTCTACTCACACAATAAGGTTTTGTTGTTTTTTAAGTGGAGCAAAGCAGACTAGGATAAGGACATCAGATAAAAGCTGGAAACGGGCCTAGAAGGCCTAGCAGAGCGTTTTCCATAGTTGCTAAAGTGAACCACACATTTGACTCTAAGCTTTTAAACCATCAGTGTGAAAAGGGAAATGCTTAGTTCTATAAGTCACTCTGGCCTTAAGGTAAAATCATTCTCTTTACTGGAAAGACTTTGGAGCAGCCAGAATTGGAGGGGCGGGGGGATAAGAAGCAGAGAAGGGGAGGGCTCTGTGGGATGCAATGAAAGATGCCTTCCTCTGAGGGCCGTTCTCAAAACATCCCCTTAACAGGCCTCACCAAAGCACCCCTTTCCCAAACACATCTCCCAGCTGAACTGACTTCTGACTTCGTCCAAAGGTGTCTGTGAGAACTTGGAGAAGAGTAGAGGCACTCCTGCCAGGGTGGTCTGTGGGAAAGACGTGAAAAGCTTGAGCTGGTCTCCCTCTGCATGCTAAGCATGCCCAGGGGCACACCCAGGATCTGGAACCTCCACAGGCGTGGATGGAGCTGGGAGGAACATCTTCCCAGCCACACTCACTTGTATCTCAAGGTCTGCCTTTCTCCCGGTAGGACTCGCGGGTTCCTGCCTGGCACGATTCAGCACCATGCCATTCCTGTACTGTAATCCTGGGGATGTCTGCTACTATGCCAGCCGTAATGACAAGTCCTACTGGCTCTCCACCACTGCCCCACTGCCCATGATGCCCGTGGCTGAAGATGACATCAAGCCCTACATCAGCCGCTGCTCTGTGTGTGAGGCCCCAGCTGTAGCTATTGCTGTCCACAGCCAAGATGTCTCCATCCCACACTGCCCTGCGGGTTGGCGGAGTCTGTGGATCGGCTATTCCTTCCTCATGGTATGTGATACTAGCCCATTCTCTCTTTCAGAACATGGGGCCACATTGAAATCCAGTTCCACTCCCCAACTATACTTAACTGAGTACACAGCAGGAATTGCCACCTTTGTCAGAAGAATCAGACAGGACGACCCCACATAGCTGTTCTAGTTGACTACCACACAAGGGCACCTGGCCAACATTACAAAATGCAGGTTGTATTCCATCTCTGGTTCAGTGAGAGCTGGAATACAACCTGCATTTTGTTCAGTGGGCCATGTGCCTTGACGCAAGACTGTCCTCATCTAGAGGTGACCCACTGATTTACAGCCAGCACTGGAATTAGGTTAAGTTTGGCCTCTTGTCCATATTACCAAGCATAGTTCCAAAGGTCGAACTATCCTTGGTTTATCAGAAAGCTGAAAAGAGGGAAGAATTTTATCTGGAATCTTAAGTCTCAGAATGCCCTTAAGAAACAGCTGTTAACTGACTGACTTAAAACTTATTAGACGGCTAGACGCTAAGGAAAATTCTGGACTATCAGATAGTCTTTGGGTATAAGGCAGAGACAATTCAGCTTGGGCCAGTTTAGGTTGAGCTTAACATCAAGGAAAGGAATTGTACCACCGTAATGTCGCTTATAATTTTATTGCTTAACAAACTTTGTAGAGAGAAAGAAAAGGAGAACAGTAGGCCTGATATTCCAAAGACATTTCTTGTCATCATCAGCTCTGCATATATGGAGTAGTTGTTGTTAAGTGCTATAGAGTCAATTCCGACACGTAGCGACCCTGTACAGGGTTTCTCAGGTTGCTGATCTTTGCAGGAGCAGAAAACCTCATTTTTCTTCCACAGAGCAGCTGATGGGCTCAAACTGCCGACCTTGGGGTTTGTAGTCCAGTGCGTACCTTACGGAGTCACTCCAATCCAATTGTGTTGCTAGTATATTCAGTGTATTAAATGTTTCATAAACTATCTAAATAATACAATATATAAGTTACATAAAGATTGCTTGTCTTGTCAAAACAAAAAATAATCTGCATTCTTGGGAAGAGTGGAGTTATAGTAAAGGAAAAGGTTATGAATACTGATATTTTAGTATTTTAACAGAGATTGATACAACAGGGAGTAAGGTGACTCTGTAGGATTAGAACTGGACTGGGAGCCACAGCGTTGGTGGTTCAAGCCCACCACCCGCTCTGCAATAGAAAGATGAGGCTTTTTCCTCCTGCAAAGATTTAGTCTTGGAAAATTTGTACAGGGTTGTTATGAGTCAGAGCTGACTTGACAACACTTAACAACAACAACAACATTGGCACAATAATCGGACCAACAGGATACTAAATTCCTTGCAATGAGAAGCATGAGTTCTACTTTTTAACACGTTTCTTGTGGCTTTGGAAAGGTTCTACAGAGTTCCAGTAACCTTCTTAGAGTCATCCTGTGATGGAAGACACAAACTTTGGGGTTCTCTTACTTTTTCTAACTCCCATTGTTAAATTAAACATAAATGCACCTTCTCCCTTATGAAGTCTAATTACATGGTACCCAATAAAAGATCAGAGAAGTGCCTTTTTTCATTAGCAATTACACTTCAAATTAGGATCTTTAAAGCAGACTGATAGGATTTGCACATATTATCCTCTGCTTAACTGCCGAGTAACCCAAGCAAGCCAGGAGCGTGACATTCCACAGAAGGCATGGGTGGTATGGTAGATGGTGGCAGAGTCCTCTAGCCTTGGGAATACAGCAGGGAATCAGGGCAGATCAGTTTGAAAGACCCCGACTTCTAAGAACCACAGAAAAATTCCCAGGTGGCGTTCATGAGCTGCTCTGTTTAACTGTTTACTCTCTAAATGTTTGACTCTATCTGCCTGGCTAGGAGACAAAAACCTAAACAAAACAGAAGACCGTTTGTTGTATGCCCCTGGGTCCACTCTTTCTCCCAAAGAACAACTGGTAGTTTCACGTTGCTGTCTTTGAGGTTAGCAGGCTGATTTGTAACCACTACACTACCAGAAAAGGAGCTCTGGTAGCGTAGTGGTTATGAATCAGGCTGCGAAGCTTAAGGTCTCAGCAGTTCGAAACTACCAGCTGTTCCATGGGAGAAAGATGAGGCTTTCTGCTCCCATAAAGATTTACAGGCTCAGAAACCCTGTACAGGGTTGCTATGAGTCGGAACCGACTGCACGACACACTACCACCACCATGCTACCAGAGAATAGTGTAAGGGTAGGGTGTGAATTTTAGAGTTTTAGTTAGTGCTGGCATCACAATGTACTGAGAGCCGGCTCTGGCTAGGAGAGAACTTAGCACCTCACTGGTCCCCAGCCGGCACTGAGAAACCAGGGAGCTTCTCTGCCCACCTCCATGAATGCCTGATGGAGTGAGCTTTCTCCATTTCCCATGAGCCAGCCTGGGACCAAGGACAAGGGGCCCCTGAAGGCAAACAGGTGACCTGCTAACAGGCAGCAGGGTCTGCCACATTCACAAGTGACCGCTGTCAAAAACAGTCTGAGAAGGAGTTCTAGGATAAGCACGGGACCTCAAGGTCAGTGTTTTAAACTCAGCAGCGCTCCTCAGAAACCCTATACAGGGTTGTTGTGAGTCAGAAGCGACTTGACGGTACACAACAACAAGAAGCCAGCCATGGGTTCAGTTTTTCCTTTTAAGACCCAGGCTCTGGTGAGGCCCACACAGGATGTGAACGTGCTCAGGGTCACTGCTTAGGCTTGGCCACTTGCCAAGGTGACTCTCCTGAAGGATATTAGCTGCTGTGAGCTGCAAAGCCCAGGGACAAAGTGGGTGTAGAGGGACCATGCTCAGAACCCCTTCCAGGTAGACAACACGACCATCACAGACCCAGCCTTGACCTTTCTCCTGTGCTGATGGTCTAGGTGGCTTCCTGTAGGGCATCTTTCCCAGGGTTTGCCTGGCAGTTCAGAGCTTGGCCTCCTTGGCCGGTTCACCTTTCACACTTTCACATCACAGTGAGGCCTGACAGGCCTTGTGAACACTTAGATTCAAAAGGAGCACCAGAGCTTTGGGTTAGAATCTGTGCTCTGGGAACAGAACCCTTCGAAAAAGGCTTTGTTTTTTGGTTTTTTGCTATTTTGGTTTTTGTGAATTTTTTAAATAACAAAAGGTTAGACTATGGTCACTGCCCCAATATATCACAGTGGAATTTTTTTTTTTAACCCCTACAGAGTATAGCAGAGGTATTCTTCTGACTTCTTGTGTTCCGACAACCCTTGTTCCACTCAAAGTTTTTGTGACTGAGTCAAATGATAACATATACAAGGGAGCTTCAAAAAGTTCATGGAAAATTCCATTATCTTTTTTTTTTTTAATGTTTTATTGTGAATTATATGATAGTTTACATGAGATAACTTTAGTTTTACATTCATTCCATCGCATATCATTTCATTGCCATGGTTCCAGTCCCCTCCATACATCATCAACCAACCAAAGGGTATATCCTAGAAACCCGCCCCCTACACTTCCCCCAACCGACCCCCCCCCAATTTTCAGCCCATAGTCCCTTTCCCTCTCTGGATCCAAGGTCCCCAGCCGCTTCATCACTCCATGTCATCGTCTCTGTCTCTATCTCAGGCATCTCTGTTTCTCTGGGTAGGGTCCCGCTCTCGGTTCTTCTCCGTTGATGGTCCCAGGGACCTCCGCTTCTAGACTGGAGAATTAATCACTCCCTTCCTTGTTACAAAACATCTACCTTTGCATTTCCAACCCTCATAATCTGTCCTGAAAAGCATTATTCACTACAGTTTCACAAGTTGCCCATTTGTATTTCCTTTCATCAGCTCCACCCAGACAGATTGAATGGTACCCACTGGAGGTTCTGCCTTCCTCCATGCCCCCTAGCACCAGGTTCCCTGTTGAAAGCTTGTAAGCCAGTCACTTCTTGCCTTTGTAGTCCCCCTTCCCCATTTGAGTATCCAATGTCCAAGTTGCCCATCTCCGTCCACTCTGTGTGTGGAGGGGGTGGGAATGTTTCTTGCTGTAAGGATTTGTTCCTTCTTTTGAGTTACTGCTCCATAGGTATAGGTCACGTTCATCAGACTGTATCAGCTCACTCTTTTTTTTTTCCTCTTCTTTCTTCTCCTGGTTGAGCTCCGATCATCCAGTCATCCGGTCCAGGTCACATGGGTATCATCTGCAAGTGTGGGCGCTCCTGTGCACATGCCCTCTCTTCCCATCAGCCGGTAGCTCCACTCTCCTCTCGAGTCCTCGGTGGGCACGCCACTGTCTCTGGGCCCAAGAGTCCTCAGGTTTCCTCACATTGCTTGCCAATCAGGTCCCCAACTGGGTCCACAGAAGTCCACTGAACATTGTAGGACTTAGCTTCCCGCTTCATTGCTGCTTTTACCCCACTTCCCCCCATCGGTGATACGTGTGGTCACCAATCAGAGCGTGCATTTCCGCTGAGTCTTAGTCTTGGAGGGGGGTTTGCGTTGAGAGGACCTGGCCACTTGCCTTGATGTTTCCTAAGGAAGTAATTTGTCTTTTTTAATTCCACTTTCCAAGGAACTTTGTGTGTATGCCCACACACTGAAATACAGGGGACCTACCATATGCCTTGGAGTCCTGGTGTGGTGTGGCGCTGTGGGTTAATGCACCATACTGCAAAGCCGTTTGATCTGCAAGGTCGGCGGTTCAAGCTCACCATCTGCTCCTCAAAAACCCAATACAGGGTTGCTATGGGTCGGAAGTGACTTGACGATACTTAACAACAACAACCACATATGCCTTAATGAAAGCTAAAAAGCTTATGAAACCGAAAGTCAAATTCTAAAATAGTGGAAAAAAAAAAAAGAACGAACCCTGGTGTTACAATGGTTAAGCGATTAGCTGCTCACCAAACTGTTGGTGGAAAAACCACAGAGAAAGACCAGGTGATCTGCTCCCATGGGGTTAACCAGCCCAAGCCGACCCACCCGTTGGTGGTGGTGGTGTGCTGTGTTTCCACTCATGGCAGTCCTTATAGGGGTTTCCGAGGCTGCAAATCTTTATGGGAGCAGATAGTCTTCTCTTGCTCCCACAGAGGAGCTGGTGGATTTGAATGGCTGACCTTGCAGTTAGCAGGCCAACTCGTAACCCACTAGGCTCCTTTATCAGGACCCTCCAGGGGTAACCTGTACAGAAGCAGACAGCCACGTTTCTCCCACAGAGCCAATGGTGCGTTTAAACCGCTGACTTTGGGTTTAGTAGCTGAGCAGTTTAACTAATACGTGACTAGATCTCCTTCTATAAAGACTGTTGTTGTTAAGTGCCGTCAAGTTGGGTCTGAGTCATAGCAACTCTGTATAGGGTTTCTGAGGAGCGGCTGGTGGGTTTGAACTTGCCTACCTTGTGGTTCAAACTGGCCTTGTGGTCCAGTGCTTATCCTACAGCGCCATGCCAGGACTCCTCTTTAAAGATTGATGTGTGGTTGTTACGTGCCATTGAGTCAGTTCCAACCCATAGCAACCCTGTATAGGGTTTCCAAGGAGCAGTTGGTGAGCTTGAACCATCAACCTTGTGGTTCAAACCATCTTTGCAGTCCAGTGTTTTAACCCACAGTGCCACAGATTACAGCCTAGAAAACTCTCTGGGCAGTTTTCTCTGTCATGTGGTCACTATGAGTCAAAATCAACTCAGTGGCACCTAACTATAACACCAAATATGATTTGAAAATTGTTTAGTAAAATAGAAGAAAAAAGAGGCAGTATGGTAATTGTTCTCCCTAATTCTGGATTTGTCTCTTCCCTCAGAGACCCTCCTCCTCCCTCATCTAACCCTACAGCTGAGTAAGACTTTCAGTTACTGAAATGGCCTATTTAACAGGCCTCTGATTGAAAAGGAAAATCAAATTCATAAATAATACATATTCCTTATTTTAAAAATCAGTAAGTAGAGATTTAAAAACTAATCCAAGAAAGGGAAAAATCATTAAAACCACCCACAATTCCATAATTCATTACCTAATCATAAACATTTTCAGAGAAAGACAGAAAGTTCCACTTTGGTGCTTACTTTTAATTTATCACCTCAGATGCTAGCATATGCTCCTTAAAAAAATTACATTTGGGTATCAATTCTGCCAGATTTCTTTTTGTAATGAATGGCTATCTGGGTAGTTTTTTGTTGGGGTCTGCTTTGTTTTTACAAAACTGGAGTCAGCTGTATCTATTGATTATAATGTGTTTTTGTTGTTGCCGTACCTTTTACTGAAACACACTGTAAACATGTTTGTGTCAGCCAGTCCCCTCCTACAGCACACTGAGGCTCAGGGTTCACCCCCTCATGCTGAACACCTACATCCGAGACTGAGGTAGACAATCCCCCCGTCCCCCCATTTCTGAGCTCTCTGCATTAGCTTAGATGTTCATGATTAGCTTTAGATTGGTTCAATGAAAACCACCTCCCTCTCTCAAGAGCAGACGATAACCTGACACCTGTGGGTTGTGTGAGGCGTCTTGGTGCGCAGCGGATTGAGCACTGACAGTCAAGACCACCAGAAGCTTGGAGGGAGAAAGATGCCGCTGTCTGCCCCCATAAAGACTGACCGTCTGGGGACCTTCGGGAGCAGTCATACTCTGCCATATAGAATCGCTATAAGTCAGAATCCACTCGTTGGCAGTGGGTTTTGGGGGTTGGTTGCATTTGTTTGCACTTACATACCCGCTCTGTATCTCCTCCCTTCTATGCAGCACACAGCCGCAGGGGATGAAGGAGGTGGGCAGTCTTTGGTGTCCCCTGGCAGCTGTTTGGAGGACTTCCGGGCCACACCTTTCATCGAATGCAACGGGGGCCGAGGGACCTGCCACTACTATGCCAACAAGTACAGCTTTTGGCTCACCACCATCCCCGAGCAAAACTTCCAGGGCTCCCCCTCTGCGGACACCCTCAAAGCCGGGCTCATCAGGACACACATCAGCCGCTGCCAGGTGTGCATGAAAAACCTGTGATGCTTCCTCTTCAGAAGAAGGGCGACGGGGAGCCCAGAAAGTGCTTTTCTGCTAAGTCGACACTCAAATTACGAGTGTCCATTTTGGTGCTTATTCTTAACTTCATACCTCAGATGTTAACCCTCAAACTGATTTGATTTTATTTTTCTCAAAAAACAACAATAAAATCTACCAAAGGAGTTCAGCACCAGCACTTATACCAAATAGCCACTTTGCTCATCTAATAGTTTCTGACCAGTCTCACCTGAGTCCAGAACGAAGTCCTGCCCCTTCATGACACTCTAACCCTTCCATATAGGTATTAACAGACCCTACGCTCCCAACAAGGCCATACTAGACTATCACAGCGCTAAGTGTAGCTAGCTACTTAATGTTTATCGTGTAGTCAGCATCCTGTCAAATGCCCCAGACAATTCACATATTTAACGGAGGATGGACAGAGCAATACAGCAGCAAATCAAAACTTGTAGCCCAATGGGTTCAGAACTCATGGCCACTTACTCCCACCTGCGGGTCTCCTTGGGCCGGGTCCTGCCCTGTGTTCTAGCCAACATCGAAACAGCATGATTCTCTCCCAAATGCTGTTCTCAGTACACTTCTGTGGACACTGAGTCTCCTGGGTCCCCTCACGAAGGCCTAGTGGGTTTTTTATTTTTACAAAAGTATCTGACCTTTACTGCCAGCTGTCATCCCTCCCACGAGCTCCTTACCACATAGGTAGGATTTGACCAAACGCACCTCACAGTGGCAGTCTTCAAAGCTAGTCTGTTGCCAGCGGTGTTACTTGAAGATAAACTCTGTAGAAGCAATCCGCCATCTCTCTGCCGTCCGTTATCCTGAAGATTTTACCCTCCATTGTTCTTCCTGCAAGTTGTATTTTTATGATTACTGTATCCTTGTGTAACGACCACTAAATAAAACTTGGTTTTGAACATTTTTAAACCCTAACTCTGACTGCTTTTATTTTCTCAATTGTTTGTTGTTGTTAGGTGCCATCGAGTCGGCACCGACTCTTAGCGACCTTATGCACAGCAGAACGAACAATGTCTGATCCTGGGCCAACCTCACTATTGTTGCCATGCTTGAGTCCATTGATGCTGCCACCTGGCCAATCCAGCTCATTGGGGGTCTTCCTCTTTTTCTCTGACCCGCCATCTTACCAAGCATGATATTCTTCTCTAACGACTGTTCCCCCTTCTGACAATATGTCCAAAGTATGAGAGACGAAGTTTGGCCATCTTGGCCTCTAAGGAGCATTCTGGCTGCACTTCTTCCAAAACGGATCTGTTGGTTCTTTTGGCAGCCCATGGCACTTTCAATATTCTCCTCCAACACCATAACTCAAAAGCATCATTTCTTCTACAGTCTTCCTTATTCACTGTCTAGCTTTCGCATGCATATGAGGTTATTGAAAATACCATGGCTTGGGTCAGGCGCACCTTAGTCCTCAATCTGACATCTTTGTTCTCAACTGTAGAGCACAAAAAGCCCCACATCCAGGTTCACCCGCCGTCTGAATGGTCCAGCATCATGCTGCTCTCCTTTGGCTGGGGGTCTTGTTCTCTGATGCCAAACTCATTTCTGCTCAATTTTTGGTCCCATTTGCCTTTAACTTACACCTTACACCTGGAGCTAGTACCCTGTGCAGATTCTGAAGCTGTTTTCTTGAGTTTAAATAGACTTAAACTCAGTGTCTACTAATGTGAGCCCAAGTCTATTGAGCCGCGTTGCCATCCATTCCTCAGGAAGCTGTGTTTATGTTGAAATTCATCATTGTTTACAGAAAACACCACAGGCATCTCCAGTATGAATATGAATGGTGGGTATCTCTCTAACATTCTTACAGAGAAATGCAGTGAATTACAACAGAACTCCCCAAACGCAGATCCCAATACTGTCAAGAAATTGTCTCCAAACATGTTTCTGCCTTTGATTTCCCTTGAAATCTAAACTCAGAGAAATTATTTTAATCCATTAAAATTCAATCTCATATTAATTTTTTCCTTAAAAAATACAATTAAGTACTCTGGTAGTGTAGTGGTTACGAATTGGGCTGCAAACCTCAAGGTTAGCAGTTCGAAACTACCAGCTGCTCTGCAGGAGAAAAATGAGACTTTCTGCTCCCATCAAGATTTACAGCATCGGAAACCCTGTGCAGGGTCGCTATGAGTAGGAACTGACTCCGTGCACATAACCAATCAACTTTTGAATTATATTTTAAATAGATTAATGACTATCTTGGCATTTTCCAAAAAAACAGACTGAGACATGGCCACGGAGGACTCAAGTGGAGAATGGAGTTGCCGGCTGATGGGAAGAGAGGGCATGTGACACTTGCAGATGACACCCACGTGACCAGGACTGGATGACTGGATGATCAGAGCTCAACCAGGAGAAGAAAGAATGAGGGACAGGGTGGGGGGTGGGGGGGGAGAAGATGACTGAGCTGATCCAAGCTGATGAACTTAACCTATGCATATGAATGCAGTGACACAAAAGAGGCAACAAATCCTTACAGCAAGAAACATTCCCACCCCCTCCACACACAGAGTAGACAGAGATGGGCAACTTGGACATTGGATACCCAAATGGGGAGGGAGGGACTATAAAGGCAAGAAGTAACTGGCTTACAAGCTTTCAAGAGAGAACCTAGACCTAGGGGGCATGGAGGAAGGCAGAATCACCAGTGAGTACTATCCAATTTGTCTAGGTGGAGCTGATGAAATGAAATACAGATGGGTTACGTGCGATACTGTAGTGAATAATGGTTATCAAGACAGATTGTGAGTGTTGGAAATGCAAGGGTAGATGTTTTGTAGCAAGGAAGAGAGCGATTATTTCTCCAGTCTAGGAGCAGAGATCTCTGGGACCACCAACTGATAAGAGCCGAGAACGGACCCCACCCAGAGAACCAGGGTTGCCTGAGATGGAGACAGAGATGATGACATGGAGGGATGAAGCGGCTAGGGACTTTGGATCCAGAGAGGGAGAGGAACTGTGGGCCAAAGACTGAGGGGGGAGGGAGGAGTGTAGAGCACGGGCTTCTAGGATATGCCCTTTGGTTGAAAGACGAAGCATGGAGGGGATTGGAACCATGGCAATGGAATGATACATGATGGAATGAATATGGAACTGAGGTTCTCTCATGTAAACTATCATATAACTCACAATAAACCATAAAAAAAAAAACAAAAAAAAAACCAGACTGAGACAAAGACTTTTACTAAGGAAGTTTATTTGGGGAAGTGATTCTAGGAACTGGAGTAAGGTCTAGGCAGAATGAAACCAGGAAGAAGACAGCAACAACCCATCCTATAGTGGTTACAACTTGGGGTTCAATCCTTCTGGGACCCACTATGAAGGGGACAAAAGATGTCTCAACTGTCTAGCTGAAGCATGGGACAGGAAGTATTTATCCACTAACTCCTGTCCCCAAGAGTGTGGGGTTGCCCCAGGTATGCTGACCTGCACACTTCCATATACACCCGTACTCCTGCATTGCTAAGCCGGTGCCTACTGCCATACCAGGTGGTGGAAGCAGAGAAGCCAGGTGCTCCCAGCACAAGGTACTATCAGACGACACCTGTACACGGCTAGTTGTCACAGCAACAGCTGAATCAAAAAGCTGGGCCAAGAGCCTGTGAGACCAGGGCTCAAAAGATGTTCAGCATAGCAACTCTGAGATAGCTTGTTAAAACAGCTGTTTATTTCAGGCTCTGGTCCCAAGAAGGTAACTACAAAGTATGCTTATGATGCTGAACATGGCTGCTTGGCTCCTGTTATGAATTGAACTATGCACGCCCCCTCAAATGTGTTGGATCCCTAGCCCCTATTTGTAGTGATGTGCTTGTTGAGTCACTTCTCACAGTGCCCTGTATAGGGTTTCCAAGGAACGGCTGGTGGCTTTGAACCACCAATCTTGAGGTTAGCAGTCCAGTGCTGATACTACAGTGCCACACCAGGGCTCCCTAGCCCCATATGTTGTTGTTGTTAAGTGTCGTCGAGTCGGTTCCGACCCACAGCGACCCTGTACAGGGTTTCCAAGGCTGTAAATCTTTACAGGAGCAGAAAACCTCATCTTTCTCCTGCAGAACAGCTGGTAGTTTCAAACTGCTGACCTTGCGGTTGGCAGCCCGATTTGTAACCACTACTCTACCAGAGCTCCTTTAGCCCCATAGAGTGTGGGTATAATCCCAGTGAGAATACAGTTTTCTGTGTTGTGTTAATCAAGCCACGCCAGAGCAGGGTGCCCCAATCTTAATTGCCTCTGAACTACAAAAAGAGCAGATTAGACACAGAGGCAAGTACAAACATGGGGTCACATGAAGATCACCAAGGAACTAAGTCCTGGCGTGGCGTTGTGGGTTAATGCGCTGGACTACAAGGTTGGTTTGAACAGCAAGGTTGGTGGTTCAAGCTCACCAGCTGCTTCTCGGAAACCCTATACAGGGTCACTATGGGTCAGAACTGACTCAGTGGCCCTTACCAACAACACAGAAGCAGAAACAGGGATCTCCCCCTGCCTCCCCAGATCCAATAGAGCAATACTGTCCTCGCTCTGGTGTTCCAGCGGCCCGCATTCAGACTTCCAACCTCCCAACTGTGAAGGGAGTTCCTGGGTTACACAAATGCTTCAACATGTGACTACTACCCAAAAGGTTGGTAAACTGAACCTACCCAGGGGCAACTCAGAAGAAAGACCTGGTGATCTACTTCTAAAAGATCAGAGCCCTGAAAAGTCCATGGAGCACAGTTCTGCCCTGAGTTCTACTTAGAATCAACTTGATGGCATCTTGTAGCATAAACTGTTAGAAGATACATTTCTGGTCTTAAAGCCACCCCTTTATGGTCTTACCTTTATAGCAGCACTTGCTTTAGATGTGACACGGAGGTGGAGGGAATCACAGTTCAGAGTCAACTGTCCAGTATTAAACATAAAAACATTTTAAGACCTTAGACCTAAAATATATCAGAAAAGAAAAATAAAATCACAGTCCCAG